GGGGGCAGGGCAAGGGTGTTTGGGTTAGTGTCATTAGACAGATGGCAACCCCAACCGCATGTCTGGGGTAGCTTTCGGGGGCTGGGCTTGGGGCTCCCTGTTACCTTAATTACTCATGTATACACCCTGACCTGGGTATCTGCCACATGTCTGGGTAGCTCAGGGGGCTGGGCATACGGTGGCCTGGTGCTGTAATTACTCACATACACACCCATGCCTGGTATTACCATAATTACTCTTTTACACCGTATAAATCTGCCATTTATTTAATATAGCCTGAGCATGGGTATGGGGTTACCATATATACTCACACCCAAATATAAGCCACCCCTCTAATTTACCCCAGGGCCCGAGTAACCAAGGAACCGCTGAGTAAGTAGTGCCCCCTTCCCATATTTGCTTATATATACACACCATGAGTTCAAGCTGCCTGCCTAATTTAGCTCAGGTGAGGGGACGATAGCACCCTTCCACCCATGCATGGTCATACTGTTACTGTAATTACCCACATATAGATGCTGCTCCCCCTTTATGCACTGCTTGACACCATTAATCCCACTGCTGACACCAGCTGTGTCTATCTGTGTCTCTGCAGGGGACGATAATTTGCTGCTCATGGTCTCCAGCGGAGTCATCGGCGGTGTTCTGCTCCTCTCGGTGCTGGCGATCGTGGTCTACAAAGTAGCCAGAGCCAGGTGAGGGCACCAGGCCATGGGCTTGGAGGTCTGATGGCTTAGCCACAAAGGAGCTGCATGGGTAGCAGGCCCCACTCAATGCCAGGGGGCATGGCAGCAGGCACAGAAGAGGAAGGGGCATGGGTGGAGGTCAGATATAGAGAGACCCAGAGAACTGGACCAGAAGGAATCAGGGGGGTGGATTCATTAGGACATAGGGAGACACCTGAGAAAGGCAGGCAAGTAAGCAGGATTGGACAGAACCTGGCTGGTCTCCTGTGGTATGAGGCACCTGTAAGAAATAATTAACCCGTGGGACTCCCTGCAACTAGATATTTGCAGGGTTAGCCCGTGGGACTCCCTGCAACTGGGGATTAGCATGGTTAACCCACAGGGCTTCCTTGCCACTGGATATTTGCAGGGTTAACCTGTGGAACTCCCTGCCACTAGATATTATCAGCGTTAACCCAGAGGAATGCCAGTCACTAAATATTAGAAGGCTTAACCCACGGGACCCCCTGCCACTGTTAACCCCAGGGACGGGCTGCTGCAGGGTGGGCTCGTCGGCAGCTCCAGGGCTGCGGGAACCGAGCTAAAGCCTGTTCTCTCCTGCAGGAAAGATGAAGAAGAGGGTCCTTCGATCTACGACAATGAAGGCAACGGGGAGCAGAGGCCGTCCCTCAACGGGGGGAAGCCGAGCAAGGCGAAGAAGGATGAGGAGTTCAACCTATACAGCAAGGTAAAGACGGGCGGAGAGGTGGGAAAGGCCAGGGCCACATGCTTCCCCTGCCGTCGTCCTGGGCTAAGCTGGGAGGGGCCTGGTTGTTCATTGGATGAGAGACCTGCAGGGTGGGGGCTCTCCCCTGGTAGTCAGGGTTGGCCCCGGTGCCCCAGGGCGGCACTAGGGGGCACTGTGCTGCAGTTATTAGTCAGAGCACCCGAGTGCCAAGTAACAAGACGTCTCCACTGTTTGTCAGACTGAGGGGGGCAGGAACCCCGGCGTCCTGGCCAGATTCCCAGATAGTTAATTACATTTGACTCCCTAAAATCCATTCTGTCGCCATAGATACATTTGTCTTTGTTTCCTGCCCCCGGCTGCATCTCGGCACTGGGCGAGCTGTCCCTATGCAGAGTTGTGTGCAGCTTTTCTTCAGCTGCTCCGCCCCAGAGGTGGCTGCATCTCAGCGACCTCTGTGTGAGTCAATCCTTCCTCTTTGCATCCTCAGGAGCTGGGCATTGACGACTACGAGGCCATGGAGCGAGTGGAAGACTATGAGAATTTAGCAGCAGAAGGAGCCGGACATTATGGGAACGTTGGCACTTGGCAGCCGCATTTGCTGTCTGAGCAGATCTACTCCAACGTCTAACCCTAGAGCGGGAGCGGACGGGCTGGAAATGCTTCTGAATATCTCTTCTATTTAAACAAGTGCTTGTATAGCTAGGAATAATAATAGCTAGAGCCATGGGGGTGAGCGGTGGGACGGCTGGTGACGACATGGTGGGGGAAGTGGGATACGCCTAGACCATGTCAGGGACTGAGGTAATAAGTCCAGTCACTGGGAGCAACATGATGCTAGCAGTGTGACAAAGAGAGGGGAAAACTGGTGTCAGTAGTGGGATTTAGCTAGTGTGAACTGGTGCCAAAACTGGGATCGCTGGAAAACTAACCAAACCACCCATACCTGTCTATAGCCACCTGCCCCTGCCAGGGATGGTTTAGTTCCCACATGTACCTGTAAAAGACCTCATGCACCCACCAGCCCCAGGCCGCATGCCAGCTTCCCTGGGCATACACTGATGTCCACATAACCATGTCCCCTTGTCACGGCGTGTGGGGGAGACAAGGCCCTGCACCCCCGGCTTCCTGCAATTCACCATGACTCTCAGCCAGCCAGTACGTTTATTTAGATGACAGGAACCCCATCCAAGACAGTCCGGTCCATCTTGGGGGGCCCCAGGGAGGCCAGAGCCCCATCTGGGTTCCCCTCCATTTCCCCAGCCAGCTCCAAACTGACTCCCCCTCCGGCCCCTCCTCCTCGGCTTTGTTCCTTTCCCAGGCCAGGAGGTCACCTGATTCCTTTGTTCTCCAACACCTTTAGCTATCTCCTTGCAGGGGGGAAGGGCCCCGGCCATTAGTTGCCAGGAGACAGAGTGTCGGCCATTTATGCACACTGGCCCCTTTCTCTGCAACAATCTCACCCACTAGCTACTTAAGAAATGCCTGGGGGAAACTGAGGCACCCGCACAGGATTCAACGGAAACATTAAGAACAGTCCCAGTTGGTCACACCCCTGCCCCCCAGAGATGTCCAATCAGATTTGGTATCCTTTGATGACATAAAACTAGGCACCCAATGGGGTGACAGCCCTAGTATCAGCTGGTCCCTGTGCCAGGTTCTATTAACCCCTGAGGGCTGGAGCGGAGTGAAATGCATGTAGGATCGTGCAAGGTTAAGAAGAGAGGATTTTTCTACTTTCTCCGATTTCCTAAGGGCTAAAAGGGGAGTATCTCAGGGTCTTGAAAGGTTCAACGACCCCATAAGGGCAGGGTGAGAGCGGGGGTCTTGAAACCCTTTAGATTGTGGAGGAACCGATCACATCTGTCACTGGGAGCAATTTTACTACTGGGTTTAATAGTGTTAACCCCTGGGACTCCCGGCCACTGGATATTACTTAACCCCTGCAAATCACAGTTATAGAGCTTTGAAAGGTGATATTTCACCCCACTGGTCGTTTCTAACTCTGAGATCCACCCCGGCTGCGTTGGCTCAAACCAGTGGTGGGTTTTACTGTAAGATTTTCAAAAATATACGTCTCTATTTTTGTACTTTCAGTGCGTCCATGGTGTTTTGATTATATTAGAATACTGAGGCTAACCTGTGGGACTCCCTGCCACTGGGTATTAGCGAGGTCAGCCTGCAGTACTGCCTGCCACTGGGTGTTAGCAGGGTTAACCCCTGGAACTCCCGACACTGGCTATTAACAGTGTTAACCTGTGGGACTTCCTGCCACCGGGTACTAATAGGGCTAACCTGCATTCCTCTCTGCCCCTGGGAAGTAGTGGGGCTAACCTGTGGGACTCCCTGCATCTTGCTATTAGTGGGGTTGGCCTGCAGGACTGCATGCCCCGGATGATTAGTGGGCTTATCTCAGGGGGGTCATAACCCAGGGAACTCACTGCTGCAGGGTGATTATAGTTAAATTACAAGCAAATCTCATGAGGGGCTGGGGAATGGGACATGCAGCATTTCCACTGTGGGGGGCACTGGCTCTGATCCGGCCCCAGGACAGGGGGACTGGCTGGCTCAGGGGGGTGAGGAATGGGGGAGCATAGGCTGTGGAATTGGACCTAACAATAGGACGACCCCATTGGGTGGAGACGTGGGGGGGGATGCAATGGGACTTTCATGCTCCCCCCTCCGGATACTCACATGGCGCCACCTCAGAACAAGAGGCGCTGTCTGGGCCTCGGACGGGGTTAACCCTTTGAGGGAGGGGGCGGAGCAGACAGCAGGTGTCGGGGAGAGCTGACTGGGCCTGGGGGAGAACCTGTGCTAATGGTCCCTCCCCACCCCTGCTCTGGCCTGCACCCCCTCATAAATGCACACACACCCCCGCCGTCGTCCCGTGGTCTAGGCCAGAGGCTGATGGACAAGCGATGGCTGGAGGGCTGGTCCTGCCCCGTGGTGTCCGAGCCTTTCCCGGGGGATGGCTGTCTGGAGGGTGGTGTGGGCCCGGCCTCGGTATGGTTAGCCCCGGCAGCAGCCCTCTGCTGCGGGCCAACCCTGGCTCTGGCGTCCTCTTCGGCTACTCTACCACCCTGGGCCACCGTCCTGCTGTCCCTCAGCCACGGACACAGGCCCCATCCTTCGCTCTACCCACCCCTCCATCCACCC